CCAAAAAGCAAAAAACACTTCTATCGATAAATGTATATTGTAGGTATGTCAGCTATCTTCAGGATACACAAACTTGATAATTCATCCAAAGAAATGCATTTCCTTGTTTTGGACTTTCTATGACTCATTCGGAATCAATATAAATGATACAAGGTGTGGGAACACAAAAACAATTTCTCTCCCACCTTTCTAAGTTCTTCTGGCTGGGGTATAAATTAACTTGAGACAGATGAACAGAAATGTCTAAAATTTATTACATATGTACATGCAGGGTTCCATAAGAATGAGAACCGAGGTCGCATTGGGCAGCTGTCTTCTCCGCCGTCTGGACTAAGAAGTGGGGCAGGGGTCTGGGACGTCAGAGGGAAAGTGGGCAATTCACTGGCGGAGGAGAAAGAGCAAACTTGTGGTAAACAAATGTGCCAGAAACAATGGGACACAGAGGGGAGTCCAACAAACAAGCTTTGCTAGATTTCTCCCGTCCGCCACACTCCATTCAGACATGTCAGGGTAAGTACGCTGAGGCTCCCTTCCTGAAGCAGGCTTTTATTTTTTTAAACATGTTTTTATTGATTTTAGAGGGAGGAAGAGAAAGATTTTAGAGGAAGAGAAAGATATATATATATATATATATATATATATATATATATATATATATATAGAGAGAGAGAGAGAGAGAGAGAGAGAGAGAGAGAGAGAGAGAAAGAGAGAAACATGGATCAGCTGCTTCCTGCACACCCCCTACTGGGGATCCAGCCTGCAACCTGGGCATGTGTCCAGTCCTGGAATCCAACCTAGGACCTCTCAGTGCATCAGACATTCTATTAGCTGAACCACACTGGTCAGGGCCTGAAGCAGGTTTTTAAAATCTCAATTCGTTTATGCAGATAAGGGAGAGGGTCAAAGGTTCTGAGTCTTTTGTTTCTTAACACATTTCAGACCAGTAGTTTTATTGCTAACTTTATTCAATGGCCAGATAAGTTCCTATTGAATGAGTGCAAAAAAACGTTTTACATAAATGCTAAAGGCACGCTTTAAAATTAAATACCCATTGCATTTTGAAGTTATTTATTACATGTTCTTACAAGCTAATATCTTTTAAAAGAATTCTCATGATTGGCTTCCCAAGCACAATGCCCTTTCTAGGAAAATCAACCTGAGATTTTAGTCATTTGCAAAACCAGGTTCTTCAAGAGAAACCAGTCCTGGCCACCTCCGCCTTCTGCAGCGCCTGGTGCTGCTTACCTGCTGGTTTGGTGGGGACTTGGCACCTCATCTGTGAAGCGGCAACTGAGGAGACTCAAGACTGAGAGCAACAATCCTATTGGGTTGAAGGCGGCGGGGCAGGCTGGTTCTGGGTGCAGTTTATGATTAAGAGGCACACACTCCCTAGCAAACTAACGAAAGCCTATTGTGGACAACAGGGTTTGTCAGTGAGCCAGATGCAATTCCGATTTGACAGCCAGCCAATCAATGGAACAGACACTTGGACATGGAGGATGAAGGTACAAGTGGTGATGTTCCTGCAGCAGACGGGAGGTGTCTACTAAAAGGGGAGCTGTACTGTACTCCAGACTCGTGCAGTAATAAAACTGCAGGGAGCTTAATTCCATTGCAACCCTATCACAGTCTAGTTTTCTCTTTTTTCATTCTCCCCTTCCCCATTCCTTTACTGGACATAAAGCAACTGATGTATGTGCACAAACATTTGCATTTTTAAAACTAAATGACCAATAGGATGTGGGGTTTTTTTGTTTTTTACTTTTTAAAAAAAGTTTTTATTGATTTCAGAGAGAGGAAGAGGGAGATAGAAACATTCATGATGAGAGAACCATCATTTGGCTGCCTCCCACACTCCCCTACTGGAGATCAAGCCCTCCACTGGGGCATGTGCCCTGACTGGGAATCGAACTGTGATCTACTGGTTCCTAGATCCATGTTCAACCACTGAGCAACACTGGCTGGGTGTTAATGGTATGCTTTGATAGACATCAAATGGAGATGGGATGGGGAAAAATACTGGTTCTATGAAAATACCCCCCTTCTCCATTAGCAGCTCATTCAGCTGTTTATATTTCAGTAAGTTATTTTGCTCATTGTTTAACCAAAAAAAAGTACATAAAAATCCTAGATACCTTTGAAAAATTTTAATGTTTTCACTTATTGAAAAATCAAGGACAATTTTATAACACTTTTGTACATAGCTGTTGAATTGTAGAACAATCTATAGGAACAAATTACTCTAAAAGAATTCTAGATAGTTTTTCCTTAAGTCAAATGTCTTGTTGTTTAAGTATACTTATTTAAATTAAAAATTAGCAGGGTAGCTCAGTTGGTTAGAGCCGTGGTGAGCAAACTGTGGCTCTTTGGCACTGTGAGTGTGGCTCTTCCACAAAATACCACGGCCTGGGTGAGTCTATTTAAAAGAAGTTTAAAAAACTTGGCTCTCAAAAGAAATTTAAATCATTATACTGATGATATTTGGCTCTGCTGAATAATGAGTTTGCCGACCACTGGGTTAGAGTGGTCCTGAAACCCGTAGGTTTCAGGTTTGATCCTCATTCAGGGCATATAAGAACCACGGAACCCACAAATAAGTGGAACAACAAATTGATGTTCCTCTCTCTGCCTCCCCCCCTCTAAAACCAATCAATCAACCAATCAATACATGAATTTAAAATTTTTTTTTTTAGCCCTGACGTGTTTGGCTTAGTGGATAGAGTAGGGGTGTCGAACTCAATCAGAGAAGGGGCCAAAATCTAAAATCCAGCCTAAATCGCGGGCTGAGTGGTTTACTGAACAGTCATAAACTGTCATTGTGATGGAAATGCAGCGGAGTGCAGTGATGACAGCGTGGCGCGGGCCACATTGCAAGGCCTGGCGGGACGGATTTGGCCCGCGGGCCTTGTGTTTGACACATGTGGGATAGAGCATCAGCCTGCAGACTGAAGGGTCCCAAGTTCGATTCCAGTCAAGGGCATGTACCTTGGTTGTGGGCACATCCCCAGTAGGGAGTGTGCAGGAGGCAGCTGAATCAATGTTTCTCTTTCAATAAAATATATATATATATATATATATATATATATATATATATATATATATATATATATATTATTTTTTTTTTTTTTTTTAAATAAAATTTTAAAAGAGAGAGGAAACCTGTCCTGTTCCCCAGACTAAGGAGAAGGAAAACTCACCTCTGGCTCTGCAGCCAAGCATCTCTGACTTGGATGATGGGGTGGTTGAAGGTGAGAAAGAATCAGCCTCGTCCATGGTTCACAGGCTCCAGTGTCATTAGTTCACTCTATTGTAACTGCCAGCTTCTTTGCCTGTATTCCCCCTCTACAGGGACTGAGTATTGCCAGGACCTGGTACAGTGTCACCCACTAGACAATATTTGCTAAGGAAATGGATATGAAACCATTGAAGCTTGGAGACAATGTGGAATAGCAAAACAATAATCATCTTACTTCTCAACTTTGTAAGTATCATTCTGACTTAGAGTAAAAAATTATCTGAACTTTTTCCGATTGGCAAAAAGGTGAGAATGGATTTCTAAGACCTCCTCCAACATTCTATGTACATGTATACAAACCAGGTTTCAAATTATAAGACTGATTTTTTAAAAAATTTATTTATTTATTTATATATTTTATTGATTTTGTACAGAGAGGAAGGGAGATAGAGAGTTAGAAACATCGATGAGAGAGAGTCATCGATCAGCTGCCTCTTGCACACCCCCTACTGGGGATATACCCGCAACCAAGGTACATGCCCTTGACCGGAATCAAACCCGGGAGCCTTCAGTCTGCAGACCAATGCTCTATCTGCTGAGCCAAACTGGCTAGGACCAGATTTCCATCTTTTTGATAGTAGATATAATCACTGGAAGCAGCTAAAAATTAATGGGGGGGTCAAGTTTGGTAATTAAAGCGAGAGATCAAGTGAGGCAAAACAATACGAGTTTTGGTTGGAAGCCTCTACTATTCAGCACTGTGACTTGTTTGCACAGTCTATTCAAAGTAGTTCTGAAGGCGGTCACAACAGGCATTCCTGTTGTAGGCTCATTATCAAACTAAGCATAGTACTTCCCAGACACAACGATGAAGGGGGCAGCTTAGTGAAGATGCTTTCTTTGGATTCATTACTTTGCAGTTCTATCTCATTCACACATAGAAAATCTCAACATTTGAGCCACTTTAAACAGATGTAATGGTTCACCTAAATACTGCCGGATTTTTTCTAGTACGACATTCTCATAAACACTCATTTGGCACTCAAATGACAGTTCACATACATTATCTTTTTAATTTTCATACCACCTCTAAAACGATAGATGCTATCCTCTCTATTTTATAAAGGAGGAAGTGGAGGCTCAGGGAAGATAAATGATTTGCCCTAGGCAACACGGCTGATAAAAAGCAGAGTCAGGATGCCAATTTGGTTCTGTTTAGCTTCAAACCCCCACGTTCTTTTCATTTTCTGACCCAGCCGTGTAGCGCCTTTGTATAATTCTTTAATGTATCATTATAGGGCTGTTCAATTCTTAACAGCTACGATTAAAATTTCTTAATGGCTCTATCACTACTAGTGAATAATCATACTCTTTATTTAACCTGGAAGTGAACTAAACAAAGCTGGAGGTGTTGCTTATGAATAGGCTCATTTATATTCTTAAGAAAAACTGGCAGTAACTACAAAACCTCATTTATTCAATTTAAATAAAGTAAATATTGATACTAGCCTTTACATTTAGAGAGACTTGTCTGGCAAGTGAGCATGTTTTAACAATAACCATAGTAAAAGAGAAAAAAAATTAAAGCACTATGTTAAATAAAAGGCTAATAAACCTAGAGGAAACAGCTCAGTGTTTTCTTTTAAACCCTGAAGAACACCAAACATATGTGTTGAACAAAGAGTCATTTTAAGAAAAGACTTATTAACAATCCAGTCGTAGAGCCAGCACTAAGAATTTCAATGATATCCAACTCAAAAATGCATAGGGAGTAAATTATTTTATTAAATCATGCACATCACGTGTGTTAGTGCAAATAGTTTAATCTGTACTCCAGAAATTCTATTGTACTTTATATCTTTACAAAATAGATTTAAAACAATTATTTACTTTAAAAAATGTAATTCTGAAGTTAAGCATTTCAGAACAATATTTGCAATAACCTATATACAAGAGGTACTGGGTACCACTGGCATATTAGCATTCTGTGGTGGAGTGGCTTCCTGCAACAGAAAATGATGAAATGAACTATATATGACAGTATTTCCTACAAGTCATCTGTGACTAATTCCTCCATAAATCTAGTGATCCTCCCAACAGCCAATCCCGAATAGCTTAAAACATAACCTTTAAAGTACAAACAGTGACTGCCAAACATCACAAGGCAAATTATATCCTAAACTTCTATTTCAATATTTGGCTAGGCCTGTGGATTGCCACAGAACATTCAAGCCAGTTCATTGACATCGCCTCCTGGCCTTCATTGACTGAAAAATTTAGCTATGCGATACTTTAGGATAGATTCTATGATCTAAACAAACTTTATTGACATGACTGTGGTGCTACACAAAACCACCTCTGTGTTTTAAATTTATATATCAAGCAGTGTTTAGGTGCTTCACTGAGCCTGGAACGCTATTAATCTTGGGAATAGTGCTTCTCATTAACAGAACATACCAATTAACAATTAAAAGAAAATAACCATTTGCATATCCAACCAGGAAATCTGTTGGTAGGTAACAACAGTATACTTCGAACATTAATTAGCTTTGAAATAACCATAATCAAATTAAGTCAGTAAAAGCTTATCTAAAGAGAAATTAATTCTTTCTTCAATTAAACATGCTTTGGAGGAAGAGATGATAGAAAAAAAAAAATCATGCTTCCTAAAATGCTGTATATGAAAAAGTAACTTGGCTTTAAAGAAAATATCTCTTTAAATACATGAGGTTTAATAAATTACATTCCAATTGACTCAACAGTTTGGTTTACTGCACTGAAATTATATAATTTCTATGTTTTTGCTTCCAGAAATTCTTCAGTTTGCTTGAGAAAATACTCTCATGGAAAGTTTTTCAAAGTTGATGTCCTCCACATCGTCAAGTCACATTAAGGCTAAACAAGCGTGCACATATTGCCCAAAGTATCACTAGAGCAGAATACTTTCCAAGTGTATTATTTCTCCTTAAGAAAAAAAAAAAAAAAAAATCCACACAAAGAGTTGTCTCTAAGTCTTGTTCCCAATAGCTCAGTGGTTTTATAACAAGTAAAAATGGCGTAAATATGTAAAAAATATATATATGTGTATATATTTCAAACTGATAGGCACTGAGCACACAGGGCCTCTCTTCCCATGTATACATCGGTTGTTTGGTTTGGGTAATTAACGAATCAGAAAAGTGAATTATCTGGCCTTCAGAATTGAGAGTAAAATACCCATAAATTTAATGTTATAAATAATCTGGTGTACCAAGAAGCCTACTTTAGGCCACCATAATATTCAGAACCCCAACATACTAATTTAAAAATTACATGAAAAATTGCAAGCAAGTTATTGCTTACAATAAAGTCACAATTTTATATTCTCTTTATAGACAGATACATTTTATATAATTTAAAGCAATGACCCTACAGCTGTATTCTTGCACTTCTGTCTGCTGTTTTAAGAGGTAAAAAGGAAGAAAATGGTTCTGTTTATCCCCAGCATGAGTGTGATGCCAGCTTCTAGAGGGAGGACGGTGTACGGACTCAAGAAACACTCTCATGGAGAAGCTCTGGCCAGACCTGGCACGTACAGCACGATGGCTGTTACTGCAACCAGGGCAGCCAACATGGGCATCCAGGGCCAGGGTTTCTGTGTGGAAAGAAACCAAGAGTCAATATCACATTCTCCCCTCTCCTTTCATACCTATTAACCCCTTGGGTTCCAGAGAGTCCTGAATATTTAGACTATTAGAAAAACCTTATCTTTGCATAAGGAAATATTTTAAAAAGAAAGGAAATAACGGTGAGGGAGAGCAGGTGTGAGGAGAGTCATAACAGCAGGAACTCTTTTAGAGGACCACTGTGAGGGAGCCCAATACATCTCAGGCAGTCCTGGGCAGTTTTCAGTTTTGTTGCAGCTAAAACCCAACAGTGACTTCTAAGCAACCCTCTGGGCTCAGCCTGCTTTATTTACTCCAGTACCCATATGTTACAACTAATTGATGTACACAGATGCCTGGAGTATGTTTCTGCCTAAAGTGTTTACTTCTTGATAAAAACCAGACTCACATGGTAGGATAGTTTTATACAAAAGGCTGGTCAGTAAGGTGATCGAAAGAAAATGGTCTAAGCTTTGATGCTCAAATTTGAAACCACATAAGACAAAATCAGACGGGGTTCAAGATAGGAAGTGCTACTTAGGGACTCTGTCTGTCTGATACTATTGGTAAAGACCATGTCCAGTGTAATAATGTCATGTGATCATCTCATTTGATCTACTAACATGCATGCCTATTAGAAGCAAACATGGATGGGCTGTTCCCTGTTAACTTTCAGAGGGCTTTATATTATCAACTCGCTTTTGGTTGAGAGCTTTATTTTTACTAGTGTTTTTATTAAGAAAGTTGGCTTTTAAGGAAATATTCTAATGTTGCAGACCAGAGCTCAGAAAGATATGGGCTAAGTTTACTCTCCTAAGTAAATGCACATTGGGGTTGAGATTGTGAGCCAATGGTCCATTATGTTAATCTTATCCTTTCTCATCTTCATAGCCATAGTGTAAATATAGGCAAGGATTAAAACAAAGAAACTCTACACTATGGAAAAGAAGAGGGAAGGGAAGAGGGGAAAGAAAGCTGGCTGAAAACTTCAAAGAGGCAAACTCTTCATTTCTCATTAAAGTTTGATTAAAAATGTAATTGGGAAGGGACACTAATATTGCAGGAATTCATAGCTTACTCCAGTTTGTTAGAGACAAAGACTCAGTTAAAGGCAAAATATTAACAACTGGTTAGGTTGGAATTAATTCATTGTTAGCATTACTACAAAGGAAACAAGACAAAATGTTACATGATTAGTTGATTGTTCAGTTCATTCAAATGACACAATACATGGCATACTAAATGAAGGGTTTGCTTCAGGTAACAAAATACCCGTGTGGTTTTTGCCATGCACTTTATTACAAATATGGTACAAACAGGTGACGGGAACAAACAGACAAGGACTCAACAGTAGTGCTTGTACCTTTCTCTACCACAATGGACCGAAACACCAAAACAGGAAAGCCAGGAATAGGCCGATGAATACGGCTGGGACGGGTTGTAATATGGAAGGCTAAAGAAGGGAAGGGATATTAAAATCATTTTATGCTACAAAAAATCAGATATGATTTAGACCCCAAGGGGGTGGGAGGAAGGGTAGAAGACTGAGGTAACAGCAGTATTAGCACTCAGGTTTTGCACTGATTCAAACATTTTAAAGACATCTAATACAATCCAGAATGATGGACTGTGGTATGTAAGTTGACAAACTGCAGCCTAAGAGGAACAGCTGGAGGAATGGGCAATGTGGGGGTGTCTAACATCCTAATGAAAGGCAGTATGTTAAGACAGAGCAATGACAATACCTCAACAACTGATGCTCTGCTTGACAGTACATTATTTGTGCTTCATACGTGGAATCCATTATTTGACATGAGTATTTTGGAAATGGCTAAAATTTATTTGATCTCTCCATCAAAACACCAAAACTCTCTTGCTGTTGCTTTAAAGCTTAAAAATAAATGCCCTATGCATGTTTCTAAGCCAAATAAGAGAGCTGACATATGTATGATAAATCATTTGGTATATGAAGACAGGCAGCTAAGGGCTTTAGGCTATATTACCAAATATAAACAATTATTAACTTAGGAGGAAATTACTACAATGAGTGTTATTACAGAGTAACACTTTAGTACCACACGTCCATATCATAAATAAAAGGATATTCACCCTTAAGGTAAATTATTTGTAGTTACAAATAATAATAATAATAATAATAATAATAATAATGATAATGTTACTCTACAAAAGGCTCTAAATGGTGCAGGGAATCCATTCTGATTATGCTAGATGTCTTCACAGGTTAATTTAGTAGAAGGTAGACTGAAATTCCATATTCAGAAGGATATGAATTAACATAAAAGGAGTAATCAAACTTGGAATCAAACCATTATGATCTGATTTTAGAAGAGTTCTGTATTCTATATTTTCAAAACAAATGCACTCTATTTTTGCTTAGCATACAGCCTCCAGAACCCATTCATCAACTTCTAAAAGGCTTCTAACTAAGCCACATGCCTTTATTTAAAAGAAACACACTAGGACTTTCTTTGGCAAAGGAAGGACAGCTGGACACAACTCATGAGCATTTTGTGACGGCCATGCAACATCACTCTTTTGCACTTGGGCTGTGAGTTAAGCAAAGTGCCTTCCTCTGCAGGAAGTGTGTGTCTCCCGCAGTGTCCGAGCCATGGCAAAGGTCTGAAGTAAGTCACAGCACATCCAACCACACTGAACATCATCTATTAGTTAGGTCCCACAAAGGCAATGATCACCAAAACATGTAACACAACATTTATTTAGTACCACATCTTTTTAAAGACCATCTGCCTTTCTAGCAAATGAAAAACAAATTAATATTAAACCCAGTTTATACTAAAACATTCCAACTTCACACGTGTGCACACACACATATGCACACACATAGCCCTACAGAAACTCTTTAATATTTCCTAACATTTATGGGAAGCCAAGAACACTCTAAATTTTTTTTTTTTTTTTTTTTTTTTAGGAATGTGCCTTAGTGAGAAAGTTATTAGTATAAAATAAAAACCATAATAAAGTTCCCATTTTTGGACACAGCCAAATGCTAAGGAGTCAACATGAACTACTCTTTCTTAGATGGGACTCTGGTGGTACAAAGCTTCATTTCCCAGCCAGTAGAAAAAAGAGCCAGAAAGTGGGACAGAAGTTCAGATTCATGAGGGAAAAGCTGACCGTTCTTAGGCAATTATTCTCTTGCAAACAAGGCCCTTGCTCCTCAGGCTCTTCTAGGAGTATAGGTTAAAGGGGCAAATTCTTAACTAAAAATTTTGACAACACAGTGATTCCATCATGGCATTTCATAATGAAAAGTTTAGTTTATGTGTACTGTAGGCCTTAGTTTCTCAAATCAGTAATGAAATCCTCTGAAGAATTGATTTCAGGGCTCTCACCTGCCTCTCAATCAAAGCGAAGCCAAGTTTGCAAAGACTTACATTATTTCCTGTTTCTCGGAGCAGCTTCAGGTTGTCTTTACATTGTTTGAGCTCATCTGTGATTGATTGTTTTTCCTGCTCAGTCTTTTCAAACTTCAACTTCAGTTCTGAGAGTACAGTCTGTGTCTTTTCATACTAAAGGCAAAGAAAAAAGAGTGTGCAGACTCAACTTAAATGGGTATGAAGTTATGGTTCTAGTCAGGCTTATATACCAGACCCTATTTAGTCACCTGCAAAACCAAAGTCAAGCCTTTTTGTTTTAAGAAGGATAAGAATCATTTACACTAATAATAAGGAGTCTTTAATGTTAACTTGATTCTATGTAAGAATTTTCTGGCTCTGAAGTTAAAAAAAAATTAAGAGACGTCACTAGTGTGTCATCTGTTTCTAATATAAAGGGTCACTTTTTCCACTAAGTGAGTTAGAGGAGAAAAATAAAATTTCAAACTGAGCAAAAGAAAAGAAGTGAAGAAAAACTCCATAGCTTAATTAAATGGCAAGTTTAGAAAGTATGAGTTTATATCCTGGTAAGTAGTATCAGCCAAGCTATTTTAGTCGTGAAGTAGAATTAATCCCCATTAGTTATCCTTTAATCCAGCATCACAGATTATGAAAATGTTCCAGATAAATGGATTTCTAGGCAAATAAAGCAAAGAAATATATCTAAGGCAGCAGTCGCCAACCTGCTGGTCTAAGGTACCAACCACTATGAGTACGGACATTTCTATCTCTCAACTTAAACTTATAAGCATCAATTAAAAGTTAAGTTTTAAAAATGTGTTCCTCGCCGTAACCGGTTTGGCTCAGTGGATAGAGCATCGGCCTGAAGACTCAAGGGTCCCAGGTTCAATTCCTGTCAAGGGCATGTACCTTGGTTGTGGGCACATCCCCAGTGGGGGGTGTGCAGGAGGCAGCTGATCAATGTTTCTAACTCTCTATTCCTCTCCCTTTCCCTCTGTAAAAAATCAATAAAATATTGCAATATATTAAAAAAATAAAAATGTGTTCCTGATAGACATTATAGAAAAATGTCTATAGAAAAGTGAAACAAACTACTTCCTGCTCTGAAAAAACAGTTCACAGTATATAATTTTCAGACACACTAGCTAGCCTTCAAAAAGACAGGTGAGGTCAATGAGAAATACAGTATGGTTTGCCCCTGCTTTAAATGCCCTGGGAGGCAGGAATTCTAGTCTGGTTCCACTTCTAGATATTGCATCTTACATGCAAGCTGGGCTCCCAAAGAGTAAAGACTGTTCTGCTGCTGGCTGTGCCTTTGTCTCGGCTTCTGCTGCCCCACTCTGCCATCTCTGAAGATTTTGGAAGAAAGACAAGGGCTGAGTAGAAAATAAATATAGCATGGGTCTGCCATACCAGAAAGGTTTCTCTTCTTCCCTAAACATAGCCCACGAGGCTGGGAAGTTTCTAATCCTTTCTGCCTGTATCCTAAAAATTCTATAATGCAATTACCTTGGAGCTTATCATTATGCACCCCAAAGTAATTCATTTGCAACAGATTACACAGGTATAAGGTAAGTGACTAAAGAGGGTAAAAATGTATAAAAACATTAGTCTGAAGAGGTGGGGGAAGAGGCTTGGGGGTCAGCAGAAAAGTCACCAGAAAATGGGGAGGAAGATACGTGTACAGAAAAGGAGGAAAAATATGAAAGGAGCTCCTTGTTACCTACCAAAGTCCCCAGAACAAGTCCAGATAATATACCAGAGAGTGAATTAAGGAGCAAGATTCATGGACTTCAGGACAGCTTTTTTGTGTGGGGTCTGTGGACTTCCTTCCAGAAGGCAGAGGTTATGGGCAAGCTGCCAAGGCAAATTTAGTGTACCTAGACAAGTCTGTGCCTTAGAATATAATCAACTCTCAATGATCTGATTCTTAACAGTGAAAATAGAGCAGAAATGAAAAGTGCTTTCATTTAATTTCCCCTTACTTTCCCTTCCCACCATTTTCACATCCAGCCTGCCCTTCACACCCAAGCACTTAGCCATTTCTCCGCTCCAGGAGTTGTGAAGCTGAAAGACAGGAAGGCAGCTCGGTCAGGAGATCGGCTGCTCACCTTCATCACGTGAGAGGGGCAGGAAGAACTCTGGCCTCGGGACAAGACAGTGAGGCCAAACAACTTTTCTGAGTTAGTCTTTGCAAGGTGACTTGTATATTCAGTGTACTATAAACTCATAGATATTCCTACTAATATGCAGATGCTTTTTAAAGACAAATATAAAGATGATTACCATTATTTTTCTCTTAATACTGAAGGTAAAATGTACCGTTCTCATGTATTTGTCTTTGTTAAATATTCAAATAAAAGCTGCCACCTGTAAAAGTTTAATTGTTGTAACAAAGGTCACCTTCTGCAATCTTAGTTTCATATCTTGCTTGGATATCACTTTTGCTCTATCTTACTTTCTAACTCAGAGGTGAGAAATGAGCTCATTCTTATTAAAAGGGAAATACCACACAATATTTCCAACACTTTTGGTTTTCTTCTTAAATAACCTTGCTTATTAGCTGGTAATATTTTAGCCCTTTACAGTGCTGAAGATACATAATTATGATACTACACATGATTCTATGAGAGAAAGGAAAAGAGGGATATTGAAAGGGAAGAATATATATGCATTAATAAAAGGTAGTAATTCATTTGCAACAGATTACACAGATATAAGAATCTCAGTAAAGAACAGTTTAGTTACAGACTAGTATCCAATAGTTGACATCATAACAAACAGAAAGAGAAGCAATTTTACATTACAAAGGAGTGTGATGACTACACATCATTTCACAATGGAAAACAATGAACAAGAAAACAGAAAAGAAACATATTGACAAGATCAGACATATTTTTAAATATGTTGCATTTAATGCAATCCAAAGGCTATCAACAATTTAGATGCCGTGACATGCCACTGCCATTTGTGGAAATAGTTAAAGCATTTTGCACTGATGGCTCGGTAACCAAAAACAGGCAAACAAATAATGCAACAAAAACGGTAATGCATTCATAGTAACATACAACAGAATCATCTTCCAACCACAGCATTCTTCCCAGATTTTGAAAGAATTATGGCATATGGACTGGAAGAACACAAAGTGCTTACAGTATTAAATACTTGGGTATTTACTTTGGCACAAAATTTGTGTTCCAACTAAATAAAATGGGATTTCTCCCCAAACATATATCCTTAGCAAGAGGATAAAAATGAACATATTACAAAATCAATATGGCAACATATACTGTTACAGTTGTTGTTTTTTTCCCCCTTTAGGAACAAACATGAAGACAGAATAATAATCATTTTCCAGTTCAGGATACTACAAGGAAAGGAAAGTGCAAAGGAAAACTGCATTCATTAAACAGATTTTCTAAAAACAATTTTGGGAAAATTTGTTATTAAAGACAGAGAACTGTCCTTAACTTCCTTCTATTTATAATGAATCCTTTGTTTAACAGAGTCTACAACTAGGGTGGGCCCTGACCAGTAAGTAGATCAAAATGCACCAGCCTTCTCCATGCCCAGAGCTGGTCAGGAGGCAATGCAGGCCAAGAGTACAAGGCCAGTAGGACTGAACACAGCTCTTACCACCACATTGTTAACATCAGGTCTTTGCTCAGAAGAGGTTGGGTGGGGTCTCTGCTCCAAAGTCATCCTTCACCATTTTAAATATGATTTTTTTTTAAAAGCCATCAAGTCAAGGTTTTAAGCAAAGTAACATGAAACAGGAACATGCATATTTGTGAAGAAGGGGAAAATGAGATGGGGGTTGTGGGAATACAGTCAAAGGTCATAGAATATGTGTTTGGCTGGCTGGCTATTAGGTGCATTTTAAGTAACTTTTCAGGCCTGAGGGGTTTAAACAGCATTATGGTGTGGCTTCACTTTATTTTCCATAGTATTCTTTTGTTCTTTTTTTTTTTAAAATATATTTTTATTGATTTCAGAGAGGAAGGAAAAGGTGGAAAGAGATAGAGACACCAATGATGAGGGAGAATTATTGATGGGCTGCCTCCTGCATGCCCCACACTGGGTGGGGATTGAACCCACAACCCTGGCATGTGTCCTGATTGAGAATCGAACTGTGATCTCCTGGTTCATAGGTTGATTCTCACCAGCTGAGCATTTTCCAAAGTATTCTAAGTTAAGTGAGATACTATCTTTGAAAGGGTTAAGTGACTTCGTACAAAGGGCTTTTCATACAGGACAACTAACTGGTACAGAAAAATTTTTAATGTAATTTTATATATTTATATTTTTAATGGTTTGGTCTAAATATAAATTCTCTATATATGGACTACGATACACAGCTAGAGATCACCAAGCAGAGATGTTCCAAGCATCAAGGTAACGTAACTTGATTTCTAACTAGCATGAATATCTGATTTGCTTTTGGCTTTAAGTCCAACCATAATGGGGCTTATAATGTCTTTCCGCTTTACCTCTTTCTGTACATCCTTTGCTTGGTTTTCAGCCTTACTGAGAAGAGTTTTTAAATCAGTCGAATCCCGAAGATGCTGTTCTTTCAAGGATCCCATCTGATTTTCAAGCTCTTTCCTTGTCATTTGAAGGATGCCGAGATCACTGGTAAGCTCTAAACTCTGCTTCTGAGAACTGTAAGATAAATATTCACATTTATTCATGTATAAACTAGACTCAGCAGGAAGTCCAATTCCTTAAACATTTCACTAGGAGGGATGGAGTCTTCAGAGGAGAAAAGAAAAGCATATAAAAAAAAATAAGAGTTTCAATAAGTAAAAAGTGTCAAAACAATAAAGAATGCAAGTAAGTTTAAAGCTGTGTCCTTTTTGTAGATAATCACATAAAGGTTGAAATTTAAAAATAGAAGTAGAAGGTGACTATATTTTGTTATATCACATTATATTAACTATGATAAAAGATTCAGTGTAGGTCTTCTACAGGAAGAATACCATGTGCTTCAGCTATTTATTATAAGTACTTGACAAATAGGATGGGGGATAGAAACTCACAGTGTAGAAGTCACTGCCAATTCAAGTAAAGATAAACCTACTCAAATGAGAAGACACACTAAAATGGGGAGAAGCACAGGACAAAGAACCAGGAGGCTGGGGCTCCTCTTTGAGTGTGGGATGTTAAGCAAATCACTTAAGTGGTATAATACCATGCTCTCAGATCTGTGCCAGGCACCATGCTATATAGACACAGATAACACAAGGAGAGTCTCAGTGCCCTCCATGGAACTCAGTTTCTGAGGCTGTTTTCTAGCCTATGATTACTACATTTTAAAACTTCATTTAAAAAAACAACCACAATTTACACATTAGAAAAACTGCTTGATAGCATAAACAGAAATTCTTTATTCAATTCCTTTTACATCACAGACAACAAAGAACAAAAGACCTGAATAGTGTAGTTATGTTAAAGAATTTGGCTTCTAGGACCTGGCTGGGTAGCTTAGTTGGTGAGGGCATCATCCCAATACAGCAAGGTTGCGGGTTCAATTTCCAGTCAGGGCACATACAAGAATCAACCAACGAATGTATAATGAAGTGGAACAACAAATCGATCTCTCTCTCTCTCTCTCTTTCTCCCCCTCACCCTTCTGCTCTCTCAAGTCTATTAAAAAGATAATTTGGTTCTCATATACAAATGAAAAAGCTAGAGGAGGATAAGGTCTTCAAAAGGACAGTTTTATGCCTCTCAGAATGATTCATACGACTCAGGATATAACTGAGGTACAATCCTATATAATAAACCCTAATATGCAAATCAACCAACGGTGGAACGACCAGTTGCTATGACACACACTTATCACCAGGAGGCAGATGCTCAACGCAGGAGCATCGCTCAGCTAGACACTGGGCTCACGGCTGGAGAGTGCAGCAGCAGTGGCGGGAGCGCTAAGGACCCCTCAGGTGTCCCAAACTGTGAGAGGGTGCAGGCCAGGCTGAGGGCACTGGGCTTCTAGTGTAGTATACTAGTAAGTCACATTTTGATTGTATGCGAGGCATGTTCTTAGGGGGCAGGTCTGATATCAAGCCAATATAGCCAGGAACTAAATGGCATAAAATAACCTGTGAAGAAAGACTAGTTTCTAAATACGAGTATGCTGGGGAGGCTTACCAAATAAATTTAGAGAACTACTAAACCAGAAGTTTAAGAAATTAATTTATCTTAAATAGTATATATAACTTAGACAGTCAGCTTAACCAACCATCTAGTATGAATATTCCAAACTCTGTGACTATATATATATATTTCCCTCTCCATTCTTCTTTGAAATCAATATATATATATATATATATATATTAGAGGCCTGGTGAATGGATTTGTGCATGGTGGGGTCCCTTGGCCTGGTCTGTGGGGATCAGGCTGAAACTGGCTCTCCGACATATCCTGAGGGGTCCTGGATTGTGAGAGGGCACAGGCCAGGCTTAGGGACCCCACTGGTGTATGATCAGGGCCAGGGAGGGACCACAGGAGGGCTCCAGGGCCTGTCTAGCCCATCTCGCCCAGTCCCAATTGGCTGAACCCCAGCAGCAAACTAACCTACTGGTCGGAGCGTTTGCCTTCTGGTGGTCAGTGCACATCAGAGTGATTGGTCAAACGGTCGAACAAATGGTAGGACACTTAGAATATTAGGCTTTTATTATATAGGATATAATGTGTTTCTTTTGTTTGTTTTTTTATATTTTATTGATTTTTTTTTACAGAGAGGAAAGGAGAGGGATAGAAAGCTAGAAACATCAATGAGAAACATGGACCAGCTGCCTCCTGCACACCTCCTACCGGGGATGTGCCCGTAACCAATGTACATGCCCTTGACCGGAATCGAACCTGGGACCTTTCAGTCCACAGGCCCACACTCTATTCACTGAGCCAAACCAGTTTCGGCGAGGATATAATGTTTTTTATTGATTTTAGAGAGAGAGGAAGGGAGAAGGAGAAATAGAAACATTGATGAGAGCCCAGCCGGCGTGCTTGGTGGTTGAGCATCAACCTATGAACCAGGAGGTCACATTTTAATTCCCAGTCAGGGCACGTGCCCAGGCTGTGGGTTTGATCTCTGTTGTGAGGTATTGGGCTGTGCAGGAGGCAGCCAATCAAATGACTCTCTCATCAGTGATATTTCTATCTCCTTTTCCCTCTCCATTCTTCTTTGAAATCAATAAAAATATATTAAACACACACAAACACACTTTCCTTTAAATAAACAAACAATAACAACAACAAATCAAAACATCAATGAGAGAGAACATGGATCAGCTGCTTCCTGCATGCCCTTACTGGGGATTGAGCCCCTAACCCGGGAATGTGCCCTGACCAGGAATCAAACTAGCGACCTCCTGGTTCATGGGTCGAGGTTCAACCTCTGAGCCATGCCAGTTGGGCCCCTTTTTCTTTTGTTGTTAATCCTTAACTGATATATTTTTTTCCCATTGATTTTTAGAGAGAGGAAGAGAGACAGACAGAGAAAGAGAGAGAAACATCCATGTAGTCAATTGTTTGCCTCCAACATGAGCCCTGTCCAAGGTTGGGGATAGAGCCTGGGACCAAGGTACCCTTGACTGGAATTAAACCCTGGACTCTTCAGTCCAAGAGCTGAAGCCCTATCTACTGAGCCAAACCAGCTAGGGTGATCAATGACTTTTTGCTAGTCTTTTTTTTTTTTTTTTTTTTTTTTTTTTAATATATTTTATTAAATTTTTATAGAGAGAAAGAGAGGGATAGAAAGTTAGAAACATCAATGAGAGAGAATCATTGATCAGCTGCCTCTTGCACACCCCCTACTGGGGATGTACCCGCAACCAAGGTGCATGCCCTTGACCGGAATCGAACCCGGGACCTTTCAGTCCACAGGCTGACGCTCTATCCATTGAGCCAAACCGGTTTTGGCACTTTTTGCTAGTCTTAATGCTCTTGAGGAGAGTAAGCACAAGGCTAGTAAGAATAATGACTTCCATTTTGGTGTCTTGGGGAAAAGGAGGTGGATTAAGAGTAGCTTCACTAATAAACAGGTACTACTTTCATATTCTGAATATTAATACAAATGCTGTTTAAATAAAAACTTAGAACAGATAAAATTTTTAAGGAAAAATAAGTTTGAACTCTGCAACAAATGTTTGTGTGAAAACAGGACTCCACTAATATATTGAAGTAAATCTATTGCATTGATTGGTTTGCATGTAAGATACTGGATGTTAGAAAGATTTAACTGATTAGAGAATTCTTGATCTTATATATTATTGCTCTTTATGTAACCCTGTTTGAAGTCCAGAAGCTGAATTTGTGTCTTTTAATTGTATAAATTCTTTGTCATGGTTATCTCATCATCCTTTTAGTAAAAGAAGGAATCACAGGTGTGAAAGGAAAGCAAACTTCTATTTGAAATTTATTATTATTTAGTTTATAGGACAAATTCAATCATTAGTTATAGATCTTTGCTGTACATTTAGGAATTTTTTTTGGGGGGAAGGGAGCATTTAATAAACCTATACACCAAAAGGAAAGAATGTGTACCATGATGGTGGTGGTAGAAAAAGAATGCTGAAGCAGTCATGTAGCATGGTTAACCTGCCAAACAGCAAAATGAGACTGGCTGAACCTTTCGCTCCAAAAATATACTTAAGTATCAAAATTAAATTAACTTTAGATTAAAATGTAAGATAAAGACATATTTCACAGCTAAAAAGAGTTTTTGCATACTTGTGCAATTCTTTTTCTTGCCGCTGCAGTTCTGATGATAGCAAAACATTTTCCTTTTTTAGAGAATGGCATTCAGTTTCCAATAATTTCCATTCCTTTCTCAACTTCTCTAGTTCACCTAAAAGAATTCCAAAACATATTCATTAACATAGGAACATAACTTCCATAATTAAGAGAAAAAAAGGTGAAAAATTTCAGAGAACAACATACTTTCCCTCCTTCAAGAACATGTAGATTTTACATGGCTAGTCTTAGACTCCTATTACTCTGCATCTAAACCTCAAGAGAAGCCCCATCACTTTGAACTTTTGTAATCCCCTCCCCACTTCACTTTTATAAGACAAATCATTTTTAACAGTATTTAAATAAAACATAAAATTATAAAACATTTAGTTAATTCTAGAACTTGCAGACCTGAAGTTCTTATAGCCCCAATAGAAGACATTACTTTGTACAATCAATTGCTATCAAAGAGAAGAAAAGCCTGGATCGTTAATTTTTACAAGTTATATGGTTATCATTGTCAAGAGGTTAGAGCTTATGTAAAATACACTTATTCACCTTGTAGCCTTGTTGCTTCCTCTCTCTGCTGGTCTTCACACTGTTGACATCGAAGCTGAAAACTGTTTTGCAGACTTGTGATTTCTTTCTCATACTCAGACGCTGCTTTCCGCCACCGCTCAAGCTCACCTCGCACCTTCTTAAGCTCTTCTTGTAAAGAAGCAATGTCAGTGTCCCGCTCAGAGGCAGCCCTTTCTGCTGCTTGATGAAGAAGCAGAATTTCATCTCGGGCACTAAGCAGTTCATCTCGAGTGCTTGTGATTTCACTGTCCTTCTCCTCCCGGAGATTCTCAATATTGATGTGTAACCTCTGCAGTTGGGCTACAAAAGTATATTTATCTATCATTTTCTTAGTCCATAGTAACCAGCAATATAAGAACAGCCTATATGGGCCTGTGGTCACTACACAACCCAAGCTATCAGAGCTGTTTGTTGTTTTTGATTCGATTGTACGAACAATCTATGTTTAATGTAGAAAATGTCAAGATCCAGAAACACAAGGAGAAAAAAAACAAACCAATCTTTATTCCCCCCACACAGAGAAAGTAGCTTCTAATATTTGGACTTATTCTTCTGGATATTTTCTATGCATCTATACACATATGAGACAAAACAGGAAGGGATAATAATATGTGTAGTGCTCTCTATCCTGCTAGTGAGGAACATCTCTTAACAACAAAATAATTACCTATAACTTTTTGACGGATCCTTTATTTTAGACATTGTAGTCTGCTCAGTTTTTACTTAGGGTGAATTCCTAGATTGAGTATGCTTGATCAAATGGTAAATATTAGAAAAATCTTGGATGTTCTTGATTCAATTTTCTGTTCAAATGTCAACTCCTTAAAGAAGTCTTCTCTGATGACTTACCTAAAATATCCTATCTGTCATTCTCTAGCTGTTTACCTTGCCCTTATTGGATATCACATTATATATTTATTTGTTTTTTATCTTTTCACTAGACTGTACATCTCCTGCATGTTCTTTCCGCAATACTAGCAGAGTAAATAATCAAGAATTAATAAAATTAATGAATACTGCCTGGTTTTTAAACTTTATTTTTATTGTTGACACTATTACAGATGTCCCCATTCAAAGAGGTAGATTTTTAAAAGATCTGGTCTTGTGTCCTCATGATGGAACTGGAAATAATCTGTATGAAATAACACTTTGTTTAGGACTAGAAAATCTAGTTTTGGTTACTATAACACAAAAAAATTATAGGTAAAAAAAAGTTTCTCTGACAGAAGAAAATAATAATTAAAACAATCAAGAGGATTTAAGGTGGGGAGAGGAGAGGAGGAGGAGGTTGCTCCATAAATAAATATTAAAGAAAATATTAGGCCTTTTAAGTGTGCAGGAAACACTGAGGTAATAGGTTCAAAACCTGAAAAGACACAATGGCCAGTGATAGGAGGACCACTGATTTGTGGGTTAAGTTCTGAAATATACATGCTGGCACTAGGGGGCACTCATGGATGCTTAGGTAAAGCATCTTTAAAGACAAAAGGCAGCACCAAGTCACAGAAAATTGCCCATGTACAATACAGAATGGCAACATAGATGCAAATAAGATTTATATAAACTAATGAATAACAGCATTAAACTATAATAAGGGCTTAAAAAGTTTTCAACTTAAAATGATATACAACTTACACCAGAAATTCTAATTCGACCATAATAAAATTTAAAAATTTTAACAGCTCAAATACTCCACTCAAAAGAAAACCCAAAGAGTGGCTTTTCTCTGGGTATTTTAGGACAAGTATCCCAGGCCTCATACAATGGCTCCCATTTCTTCTGAAGTGAGATTTGTCTATCTAATTTCTTCTCACCCTCTCTCAAACTAAAAATTTAACTAACATTAGTTCCCTCTTTGACAATGAAGGCAAATTAATCTTGCTTAGGAATCTTACAATAGCATAGGAAAGAAAGATCTCACTTGGGGTATCTCACAATTATAGCCTCACAGTACCAGGAGCTGCAGTTCAAAGAAAACCCATGACAGGCAGAGGTCTTTCTGCTCGTTTCTGCAATGACTCAGTGATAGCCCACTAAATGGGGGCTGTGAAGAGCAGTCTTTACCACTGAAGGCAGTGTTGGGACTGTTATTCTGTTTCTTGTGGTATATAATTTTTATTGCAATGCCAAGTGTGTTATGAACATTAGCAACATAAGCTAAAGGTGCTAATGCACAGAGCAGCTCAAACTGATTTCCTATCTGAAGGCTCTCTCTATAGTAACTTACTACAACAACTCAGAAAGTGACAATCTTTCCAAATCCTCACCTTCATCCCTGTTCTTCTAACCCAAGTATCTATTGTTGGAGTATAGGGGAATCTTCCTTTAAACAGAAAGAAAGGGAAGGAGAAAGGAAGAGATGGAGGAAGGGAAGGGAAAGGAGAGGAGAGAGGAGCTCACCCAGTTATAGGCTCAGATTCTAGGGAAGAACAAAGGGAACACTGCACTGTTAAGTTTCCATCCCCTGTGAATACTAAAAACTATCTCAAATACCCTTGGAGTGTCCATACCTTGAAGAACCTGTATTTGTTTAGTGGATTCCTCAATTTGATTTCGATAGGCTTTTCTTTCTTCTTCCAAAAGAGCTAAAAATAAAACACAGTATATCTAATTTTGTGAGTTAATAAAAACATTCAGAATTGGGCAGTGGGAAATTTCTTAGAAATTCTTTCCTAAAGCTTATGGAAGGAAACAAGTTAGGCAGTAAGAATCATCAGTATTAGCAGTTAGGCAGTTTAAATATTTTAGGAGCACAAAACAGTAAGTAGTAAGTAATAAATTTATTCAATTGAGTAGTAGGGTTTCTCAGACTTTGTATCACTAAGATATGTGTTATTCTTCACATGAGAAACATTCTTAATAGCTGTTAATCAGCATTTTGAGCTTAAATAAAAAATAAAAAAAAGAACTTAAAATCCTAATGTGTACTATCAAGTACACAGAAAGTACTGACTAAATAACTGCCGTTTGGGAAATGTGGTTTTTTTTTTTACTATAATTAAATTAGCCTGGGCCCTCCACAAGATTCAAGTTCAATGCATACCAACTCTAATTTCTCCAAGAAGCAGGAAAGGAAGGGAATAGTAGCTCCCCCCCCGAGAGTCTTCCTCTGGTCGGAAGGCTGTCTTAGAGAACACGAGGACGCCACTTTCTCCTCACTCTAAAACTTTCTAATGTACTAACTGACTACAACCTGGCAGTCACTGTGAATGATACAGACGTGTAAGCTCTAGCGAACAGCCTATGACTCCATTGGCCTATGACACTACAGTTAAGTGAGCTACTAGAAAAGAAATGGTTGGGACATTTGAAGATTCTTTCTATACCTTAATCTAGCCTGATTCCTCCCATTTCCAGTGCTGAGTACAGTGGAAAGTCACAGGGAATATAAATCTCCCTTATCTTATACTGAGTAGCTAAGATTAGGTTAACTAAAACTTAGAAATTTACGTACATAGCTTTTCCCTTTTGTTGTATTCAATAAGTAATTAATTACCAAGATCTTTCACTGGCAGAGGTCTTTCATGATGTTCACATCAAAAATGTGAAAGAAGTAGAGCAACCAAACTCTCTCCACTTTATTGATGTGAAACGTAAATTCACAGTATAAGTGAACGTCCCAAGATCACATATCTCATAAAGCTGTGAGTCAGGAACAAGATACCTTGCCTCTAGACTCCAAGTTTGGGGCCGTTCAGTTATATCATGTTGCCTCCACATCCCCTAAAGAATCAAAGTAATCTTGATCTCACCTTGAAGTTCAAAGCATTTTTGTTTACTTGCTCTAGCTAGCTCCTGGGCTTCAATCAATTCCTTGCGAAGATGCTGAATTTCTTGTTTTGCCTCAATTTCTGAATGTGCACCCTGCGAGTCATCTGATAAAAATGTTTATTTTAAAAGCAAGAGTTAGTATCACAATATAATCTCTACAACCAAAGATTAGCAATCTCTTTCATGTTTAGACATGCATAACTAAACAACACAGCAAAACTAAGTTAAATAAAACTTGGAAGCATTTTAGTCATTTTACTTTGCAGAAAGAATATAAGTACAGTTAAATAAATATATTAGTAGCTCATGGCATGTTACTATAAAACATATATTAATACATACTAAAATTATAAATTTCACTCATATTAAACTTATGGAAGGCCTGAACTTCAGTAAGACAAGGATAATGCTATTCTTTACCAATTTTGAAATTCTTTGATAACAAATCAGAACAATTTCAATTTTAATTTAACTGGAAGTGAAAAAAAAAGGAACTTATTTTCAAGAAAACGTATTTTTACCATGATTTCCCCAATTGTGGGATACAAAATAAAAATGAGGCTGAAAGCTGCGCTGTACACACTTTGTCATCACTGTTTTCCCAACAATACACACATAACAAATATTTGTTGAATTATTAAATGATGTAAGAAATAACTTAAATGGTTTTATTGAAAGAAATTAGATTTACGATTGTATCTCAACTATATCCCTCCCCTAATTTCTTTCCTTTCAGTCATTCATCTTTCATTGTATTAAAACTTTCTGCTACTGCACATTTCCTGATATAAATCAGTTAGGTCATATTCTTCCAGTACATTCTATTTGACTATTACTTTGGTTTATAATAGCTCAGGTATAACCACTTTAATCCATAAAAACAAGAGCTGCCCTAGCCGGTTTGGCTCAGTGAATAGAGTGTTGGCCCGTGGACTGAAGGGTCCCAGGTTCCATTCCAGTCAAGGACACATACCTGGGCTGCAGGCTCAATCCCCAGCCCTGGCTGGGGCACATGTGAGAGGCAACCAATTGATGTCTCTCTCTTACACTGATATTTTTCTCTGTCTCTTTCCCTCCCTTTCACTCTCTTTAAAATAAGGTAAGGATTAACAAAGAGAGAGGGGAGAGGGGCCAGGGGAGAAGGGAGAAGGTAGAGCAAGCACAACGGAGGCCCTGGCTGGTGTAGCTCAGTTGGTTGGGTATCGCCCATGCACAAAAAGGTTTCAGGTTTGATTCTGGTCAGGGCACATGCCCAGTTTTTGGGCTTAATCTCTGGTAGGGGGCATGCAAGAGGTAGCCAATTGATGTTTCCCTTTCACACTGATGTTTCTCTTTCTCCCTCCTACCCATTCTTCCTTCCCACTTCCTTCCTCTCTCTAAAAATAAAAAATAAATTTTTAAACAGCTGAGAATATAATTTCTGTTACATACACATATTTTCATACTCATTGATTACATGGGGAAAGGGGAAGAGAAGAGGAAACTCTTCCTTATAGTAGAAAGCCAGCCAGTAAATGTAAAAGGAATGACAGAATTATAAAATCACTAATAATAACAGTTGATTCAGGCAAGAATCATCAGTAGATGCTAAAATTAAGTAGATAATAGTAGTAACAGGATGTTTACATACCAGTGATAGAACAATTTAGTATCAGATAACTCTTGATAACTATTATTATTGTTATATCCCTACCAAAAATACATAGCTTGAATCTAATCATGAGGAAACATAAAGGTACAGACAAACTAAGGGACATTTTATAAAATACTGCTCGTCCAAATGTCAATGTCATGAAATACAAAGAAAAACTGGAGCCAGGGACCTGAAACCTTACCCCTGCTGAGGGAGTCTCCTGCTCCCATGGCTGCTTAACTTCCCATGCCCAGCTCAAATTGGGACCGGGTAAGAGACAGAGACTTGGCTGACAGCAGCTGCCCTCACACTACAACATGACTTGTTTGAGTTGTCTTGTAAACATGGTGTGGGGAAGTAGGTTTTTGATATCTAAATCCAGCCTACCACCAGGAATGCTCAGGGCCTACTCAAGAAGGCAAATAATCCTTTCCCTTAATATTTACACGGTAAAATAAGATTGTTTTAGAGTAATAAATTTGACAGTAAAATAGCAGACAAGTTTTCAGGCTAATTTAAATTAGCTAATTGAAATAAGCGAATATTCTAGAAAAACTAATTACACTGGACAAAAAGCTGTTCCTAAAATGTTAACTAAAATTTTTATTGGTAGTTCATCTCAAGATAAAATCTCACAACAGGAAATGAACCTAAAGCAGTCATATCACAGTGTAAAAATTTAAAATTTAAAAGCTATCAAGACTACATTATAAAAATTTCAAAAGCCTCCTAATATTTAAATCAAAAAGGGGGAAAGTAGAAGAATATCATGTAAGGAAAAATATCCCAAAAGCAAATTACATCTAGAAAATTTTTACTTTAGAAAATTAATTGTAATGCTATCAGCAAGACACCCATGAAAAACACATGGTGTCAAAACAAGCCAGAGGAAAATCATTTGGATAAAAAATGAAAAAGGATCCCAAGTTAAATTTATAGAAAATATTCCTTTATTAACTTTTGGTCAAGAATATGTTTGCATATTTTCAGAAAACAACTCTGAGACCATGTGGATTCTGGCAACAGAGAGGAATTGACAGGACTACTCCAACCATGAAGTCAGAAGAGCAGTCCAGAGATGGAAGACTCTGACGACGCCTTGCCATACTAACAGTCAGCAGCTGTGCATCACTGCAGGTTGCCCAGGAGGTTTGGAACTGCATTACCACCATTTGTCCACCATCCAGAACTGAAATATTATTGCTGACATGTACACATAAGGAACTGTTTGACAATGAAATTGGGTCTCAAAAGAACTGTTGGCCCAGAAAGAAACTCACTACAGTCTGATTCATATGCCTTTCAGCATAATGATTATTGCTTGTCTCATTTTTGATTCTTAAGTATATTTCCAGTAGAACATGATCTCACTCATCTGGGGGAAATGGTGAACAACACAGACTGATGAACAAGAACAGACCCAGAGATAATGAGCCATGGGTCAGACTATTGGACCTCAAAGGGAGGGTGGGGATAAAAGGGAGAGATCAACCAAAGGGCTTGTGTGCATACATATGAGCCTAACCAGTGGTCAAGGACAATAGGGGGGTAGGGGTATAAATGGAGGTGGGGGTAGGGGATTGGAATGGGGGGTTGAGGACAAATATGTGATACCTTAATCAATGAAGAAATTTAAAAAAAAACAAAAAAAAACTGGAGCTATTCCAGATTAAAGGAGACCAAAGAGAAATAAAAACAGAATGTAACCCATAACTCAGGATTTTCTTTTCTCATAAAGTTCATTATTGAGACAACTGATAAAATGTGAGTAAGGCTTGTGGATTTGATAACAGTAATATATATTAATGCTAACTTCCTAATTTGGGGAATTGTATAAGAGTTATGTAAAAAAAAAAACCAAAAAATTCACAAGGAAATATTTAAGAGAAAAGGCTATGATGTTTGCAATATACTCTCAACAGTTCAAGGATATAGAGAGAGGGAGAGGGAGAAGGAGATAGGTAAATGGAATTTGGTAAAATGTTAACAGCATTCAGTGTGAAATGTTGTTTTCATAATTAAAAACATCTCTTGAAATTACCAACCCTAATAATACAATTTTAGAATAAGCCCTAAACATTTCTTCCTAAATTCTTGTCCTTACCCTATCTAGCTTGCCCTTCTTCATCTATTCTAGATTATAAAACTAGAACAATTCTTTTATTTAGATTAAGAAACTATATTGTCTCCTTGTGTATCAAGTCCAGTTATCTTTTTTTTTTAAATATATTTTATTGATTTTGTACAGAGAGGAAGGGAGAGAGATAGAGAGTTAGAAACATCGATGAGAGAGTCATCCATCAGCTGCCTCTTGCACACTCCCTACTGGGGATATGCCCACAACCAAGGTACATGCCCTTGATCAGAATCGAACCCGGGACCCTTCAGTCCCCAAGCCGATGCTCTATCCATTGAGCCAAACCGGTCTCGGCAAGTCCAGTTATCTTTATCAGACTTTAAAGTTCTCCAAAATCCAGTCATTACTTTCCTTTACTCACTAATATACTCAGTTCCTAATAGTGTCCTCAGGAACTCCAGCTCATGACTGCTTCCTCACTTATCTTTGCTCATGCCATTTTCCTGTATTCCTCCAAACATGCCCATCATTTAAAACCCAGGCCCTAGCCTAACCATGGCTCAGTGGTTGAGCATTGACCTATGAATCAGGAGGTCATGGTTTGATTCCCAGTCAGGGCATGTGCCCGGGTTGTGGGTTTGATCCCTAGTGTGAGACGTGTAGGAGGCAGCGAATCAGTGATTCTCTCTCATCATTGATGTTTTTCTTCTCTCTCTCCCTCTCCCTTCCTCTCTGAAATCAATTAAAATATATTTAAAAATAAAAAAATAAAGCCCAGGTTCCAGCCTCCACATCTAACCCCAGCACTGCATTGAACTCCCAGCATACTGTGGTTTCTTGCTTGATTTCTAGAACTAAACAGTAAAACCACATGCAAACCAGGAAACCTCTTCAAGTTCCCTAATTGTTTAATAGCATTTAGTTTCATTTCTAAAAGAGCATGAATCCATATAGATATATAGGATTTTTTAAAAGACACTGAAGATGAAGTAACCTAGTCCTTTCATTTGCAGAATAGGAAAAAAGGTCAGAGTTCTGAAATAGCTTACATATTTGGGAAGTGGGGGAGACAGGACTAGAATTCTCATTCTAGCTCAATTGTCTCCTATAAATCATGGTACCTTCTTAGTTATAGCACAGCTATTAAGCAGCATGCTTTTCTAACAACCAATCCTCATTTTTTTCTCAGAAATAACAGGATTCCTATTATTGTTTTCTTTTTAGTAATAAATGTTAAGTGCATGTTTCACATTTCTCCTCCATACTATATCCCATCTAATACAATGCTATATATACAGTAGACACTTAACTATCTGATTAATAAACAAGGCAATACAAGATTTGCATCTAAAATGTGTAGACTTTAGCCGAGGCCGGTTTGGCTCAATGGATCGAGCGTCAGCTTGGGGACTGAAGGGTCCCGGGTTTGATTCCGGTCAAGGGCATGTACCTTGGTTGCGGGCATGACCCTGGTGGGGGGTGTTCAAGAGGCAGCTGATCGATGACTCTCTCATCGATGTTTCTAACTCTCTGTCTCTCTCCCTTCCTCTCTGTACAAAATCAATAAAATATATTTTTTAAAAATAATAAAATAAAATAAAATATGTAGACTTTAAATAATAAATCAATGCGACAACTAAAGAACTGTATTATTTTGAGCAAGGGGATGCTTTTATAAATGAAGAATTATTATGTAATCCATCCTGAAGGTCTATTAAAGCAGACATTTCTTGTTTGCAGCAGAACAATTCACTTGATCAGTGATGTTGTGAAACAAAACTAATACTTATTTTTCAAATTAAAAATAACGGAACAGATTTTATGTTAAGTAATTATGTTTTAGGAGACAAATTTAATTTAGGCAATAATATATATATATAAGCCTAAGTGACTGGCCGACTGGATGACTGTCCGATAGCTATGATGCATACTGACCACCAGGGAGCAGACACTCAGTGCAGGAGCAGAAACCACAGGCATGGAAACATGGAACAAACTGATGAATCTCAGCAGGAAGGAGGAAGAGGGGAGGGCAGGAAGAGATTAACCAAAGATCTTATATGCATAGTAGAGGCCCAGTGCATGTGCACCAGTGGGATCCCCTGGCCTGGCCTGGGGGATCAGGCTGAAACCAGCTCTCCCACATCCCCTGAGGGGTCCCAGATTGTGAGAGGGCGCAGGCCAGGCTGAGGGACCCCACCAGTGCACAAATCAGTGCACTGGTCCTCTAGTGAGCTTATAACATAAGGATTAAGCGAATTAGTTCTCTGTACCACATAGTGAAAATGACCAGCATTTTAATTAGAGCAAATAGGACGCTTGTATCAAATAATGTAAATATATAAATTCTACTAGTTTGATCATAGAAGTAGAGATATTGATCCCAAATCTTTACAAATTAAGTTTAATATATACACAAATGACTATATTCAAACTAATTAAGTAGTCAATGTGTTGATCCTCTTTTCAGAAAACCAAGTGACAATTTAGAAAAAAAAAATTTTTTTTTGGCCAGACAAATGAACAAATCTTTTTTCTAAGGTTGATCAAAGGCTCATTGCATTTCATAGGGTTCTGTGGGAAAACACATTATTAGTTTATTATGGCTTGGGTCTACTCTCGTGATACCTTACTTTTGTCACATACTTTTTATATCAATGTACTTCACAATTTTGGAAAAAGTCTTGTGATAAGTATGAGTTCAAAATGTTTAGATGAAGATAAATGGAAGCCTTACTGAGCCAAATCCACTTTATTTAGCTGTGCAAGTCAGATGGAAATAAATGTTTTTAGAAACTATGATGGCATGGAAAGAATAACAGAATCTCTTTCCCTTTAACAGAAATGGTTTATATTTAGAATTACCTGGTGTACAGTTTAGGCCAAGGGCTAGCTTTTCTCAGACTAAGTAAGAGTAAATCCTATAATATGTCCATACCACATAAAACCCACTAAATGAACCAGACTTGGCACTTGCAATAGCTATATGATGTCCTAATTAAACTTCTTCAGACTGGAGAGTTAACTTGAACCTGCCCTTTGCTCTAAACACGGATGAGATGCTATGAATCACTTGGTAAAGGGCCAAATCAAAGCACTTTCCCCCCAAGTTCTATTTTGCATATTTGCTAAAGGCTAATGTAGCAGCATCTGTTAACTCGTCAATGGATAGAAGTGATCTGGCTGAGGCAGTTGGCCAGGTGGGTGTATCCTTTTTTGATTAACAGCACTCCTCCCTTTGCAAGGTCTGGTAGTTGCAGGCTTAGTTGAGGAGAACAACGGTTACAATGGAGAAAGACCATTTTTCTGTCGTGGGTGTGTGCAGCCATATGAGAGAGTCCTACGCAGCAACCTCTTATTGTTGATTCTCACCCCTTTGCCATTCCTCTGACCAGCTAGGTTCCCTCTCGTTCGTTCTCTATTATTTTCCCTTGCTACTAAGAATTCCCAAAACATGGTTAGATATACTCTCCAAAGTTTTCACCATGCTTAATTAAACCCTGTCAACACTATCTTCCATGAGATCATAGCCTTTGCATGTGTCTTATCTCTGTATTTCTTAGGTCAATAAATGTCTCAGAAATAAATGACAATGACTCTCTCTAGTCCTAGTTTCTGTCTTGCACTTTTAAAGCATTTCTAATTTCGAGGGTAACAATATGAAACAAGGACACCTTTAAATGTGAAAGGGAGCACTTGTAATAATTATGCTTGGACAACAGGCACACCAGAACCTATGGTCACTTTCCTATTCAGCACGTGCCAAGCTAGAACCATCGCTTTCCCACTAGGATACCTCTTCTTCCAGAAATTATATCTGACTTTCATTTTCTCTCATATTCTGCTTCTCAGGCCTATGGATTTCCGATAATTACCAAAGAAAGAACAACAGAGCCCAATTTTGTTCTTTTGTTAAAATTTCCACAGCAGTCATCCTAATTTAGACTGTCAATAATTACCTAAGCCTCTGTACCTCCAGCTTCTATCTATTCCAATTCATCCAATAAGTCTCCCAAAAATGCAGGTCTGAGCAAATTTCTGTGCTCAGAAGCCACCGAGTTTTGCCAAAATAATCACCCCAACTTAAGAACACTCAAATGATTATGTGAAAAAACTTTAATTATACTGTACTTGTCAAACCCATATTATAAAGATTGTAGTCTTTAATATTTTCTTTGAAAATATATCTCTCTCTTCTTAAAATCCTAACCACTTAAAATATATATCTATATAAATATATTCTCCAAAAGTCAAGAACTAAAAACAAAAATAACTAATATTATCACACTGAAAATAATAATTCCTTAATATCAAGTATCCATTTAATATTAAAAACTTCCCCATTGTCTCAAATTTCTTTTGCAGTTGGATTGTTTGAATGATGATCCAAACAAGGTTCACACATCAAATTTAGTTGACACATCTCTTAAATCTCGCAATTTACTTGAAGAAACTAGATCACTGTCCTACAGAATTTTCCACATTCTGATCTTGTTGTTGTACGCGCACCACATTATTTAGAACATGCCTCTAACCTTTAACGTCCTGCAAGTTGACCAGATTCAGGTTCAGCTTTTTACATTATTAAACACGTCATATATGACAGATACACTTTCAGGGTCATCTCAAATGATACTTATTACATGAAGCTCAAACTGCCTTCCCCTCCCCATCTTCCAAAAAAAAAAAAAAAAAAGAAACATAAAAAATCAGAAAATTCTTTCTCCAATTTGACTCCTAATGGCAACATCAACAAAGAGCAAACAGGTGGATTTTCCCAAAGAAGTTAATATTTTCACCTTTTCCTAAATTATGTTAAAAATGGCAATGAATTTCTATCCGAGGAACCAAGGTAAACACAAAAAGAACTGTTGCATTTCATATTTTATCACTTCCTGCTTTGCCCTTCATAACCTAGACTGATACACATTATTTTACAATTTAAATACTTTTGTTTGAAGCATTGACACCAACACCAACATCTTAAATTTTAGTTCCTGCTACTTTACAGAACCTATCTTACTTAATCTTTTAACTAAAACTGAAAACCTCACATTATACATGGAATTAATTTGTGGCAAAGGGTAAATAAATCTGATGCCCTGGTTTAAAATGTCATAAAAACATGTTAAAGTACCTTTCAATAGGGACACTTTGGCAAGCGGTTCATTTAGGTCTTGCTCATCCATTTGAGCGTCTACAGAGGGAAAAAAGATAATTATAAACGGTAGTCAACTCTATCAACAAGCTGTTACTATCAAAATAAATACCACTGTATTTGAATAGTTGAAATTTATATAGCTATTTTTATTTGGATAGCTCTATCAATATATTCAGGATTCAAGAAAATGACTTGGTAAATGAAAGCACTGCTTTTCCCTGAAACACAAACTTTGAAATCTCTACCCACATTAACCTGCATATCTAAACTGCTTGGTAATAATAATATCTGCAAATTAGTAAACGTTAGGTTAAAACTCACCTGTAGCGTCGTCACTACTTTTTTCCTTGCTTGGACTCAGAGTATCTGATAAGTCAGATTCCTTTGCTCTTGCTTGATTTTCTACCAAAAAAAGGGGAAAAAAGCAGAATCTTATTATAAGTAAATAGCTTCTATCAATAAAACTACTGCAGGCTATACGTGCTCTAAATCTACTGTTAAACAAACGTTTTACTTTTAAAATTAACTCAGGTCACTAATCTCTTACTTCTTCACCACTCTAGTCCAAAATGGAATGCTGGTTAAAACACGTAGCTCATATTAAATTATAATGTGGAGCATGTCTGCTGTGCAGAGGGCTGGGGCTTTTGTTCAAGGCTGTCCACTGGCCAACTGGAAACAAAAATGAAGCAAGCTTTGCTAAAGTATTTAGAAAACTGCAACAAATATAACAAAATTCTCAAGAAAATGTGGACATTTTATGATGATGAAAAAAATGGCTCTATTACATAAAAAACACTAGTTTGCCTTAATAATATTACATAACAAAAGTAAAATCATTATTTGTTATAAAGGTAACACTTAAGACAGTAAAATTAACAAACTTTTATTTATTTAAATTTTTTGAAAAACATCTTTATTTATTTTGTTAATCTTCAACCGAGGGTATTTTTTCCATTGATTTTTTTTTTTTTTTTTTTTTAAGAGAGAATGGAAAGAAGGGAGGGAGGGGAAAAGAGAGAGAGAAACATCAATGCGAGAGAGACACATCAATTGGTTGCTTCCCATACACATCCTGATTGGAGCTGGGGTTTGAACCTGCACCCAGGTACATGCCCTTGACCAGGAACTGAACCTGTGACCCTTAAATGCTTGGGCTTATGCTCTAACCATTGAACACCAATGGCCAAGGCAATAGCCTTTTATATCTAAAGAAAACATAACTGTATCTGAACCACATTGAGGAAAAAAACTTTTAAAAAAGTTTTATATTTGCAAGTAGTGTGCTGCCTGATCCAATGAATATATTCTAGGTATAGTTTTCAATGACGTGCTCTCAAAAATCCTAACTGTAACTCCAACAATTAATTAAAGGTGGCCGGGAATTAATTAGGCCCTAGGTTCTCAAATACACATCTGTGTATACTATGATATGCATTATGATACTATTTACAGAGATGGTTGTTTCTCTAATCATAATTTTTTAGCATCTCCCTATTTCCACAAGGTCACAGCCAATTAGCCACAACCTTGACCCTGCATTAATTCCCATATGAGCTCTTTTTCAATTAGGCCAGCCTCTTAGAAAGTCAATGCATGTCAGCTCATTATGACCTGCAATTCTTTGCTTAAGTTGAATTCCCCTAAACTCAATGACCATTCTCTCTACTTAACCTATTCATTTTGTAAGATTCAACACCTCTAAGGAAGTCTTCATATCTATCTCCAGCATGCCACTCCATTTTCTTTTAATTAAAAAAAATATATTTTATTGACTTTTTACAGAGAAGAAGGGAGAGGGATAGAGAGTTAGAAACATTCAATGAGAGAGAAATATCAATCAGCTGCCTCCTGCACACCTCCTACCAGGGATGTGCCCGCAACCAAGGTACATGCTCTTGACTGGAATCGAACCTGGAACCTTTCAGTCCGCAGGCCAACTCTCTATCCACTGAGCCAAACCAGTTAGAATGCATGCTGATTCTTTTTGTTGCATCTTCTTTATTGTATCACTAGAGGCCTGATGCATGAAATTCACGAGGGTAGGTGTCCCTCTCACAATGGGGACTAGTGGCTCCTAACTGCTCGCCTGCCTGCCTGCCTGAATGTCCCTAACCACTTCTGCATGCCAGCCTGATTGCCCCCTAACCACTCCCCTACTGGCCTGATTGATGCCTAATTGCTCCTTTTCTAACCTCACATAGTCATAAATTACTTTGAAAAATTATAGTGAATATACACTGTCTTATAGTCAACTAAATGAAGACATTTTCCATTTTGGAAACAATCAGAAATCTATCTAAAATCATTACTGTCAAAATTAAATATAATGTTAAAATATAACTTGTAATGGCTATTCCATTTAAGAACACCCCTAGAATTTGTGGCTTACCATGTAAAAGGATGATGGATTACAAAAAGCCTTTGCTTCTTTTCTCACTGTCTTTTCTAGTCAAAGGTTGACTACTGAGAGACGGAACTTAGATTAGAAGTGAAATCACTGGCCATGAAGGCCCATGGGCATCCAATCTGTTCTGGTGCATTCATAACGTGCTATAATCAGATATTCCCAAATGTCCTAGTTTTGATCACAAAGTTACAGTCTCAAATAAGGCAGCTAGTACATCTAATCTACATAGATACAAAATGAACCACTCTGGGGGAACAGAAAGGAAAACAGAAAAATGACTTTCTTCTGATTTTTTATATTCTTGGCAATTTTATGATCAAGATATCGAGGTAAAACCAAGAGGGATATATTTTCAAAAGCATTCTTCTGGTTTAGAAAGAACATTTGTTTTGTATTCAGAAAGGTAAAATTGCCTTAAAAGTTGGTCCAACCCTTTCATTAAGGCTTACTAGAAAATAAGTTCTATGAAGGTAGGGATCTTTTCAGTTTTGTTGTTATACCCTCCCCCCCCCCCCACCCACATTGCATAGAACAGTGCACAGTTCATAGTTGCTTTAAAAAAAAAAAGGATGATTGAAGGTACAAATCTACTGTAAATAAAAAAGAAAAGTTTTACCAAGTCAACTCATGGTCCACCATATTTATGTCCTGATATTATAGTTACTAGAGATCTGATACACGAAATTCGTGCACCGGTAGGGTCTCTAGACCTGGCTAGTGATCAGGGCTGATCAGGGCCTTCCTTTGTTCCACACTTCCCCCTGGTGGTTAGCGCATATTATAGCAAGTGGTCGAACTCCCGGTTGGTTGAACTCCCAAGGGGACAATTTGCATATTAGCCTTTTATTATATAGAATTATATAGAGGCAAACCAAATCTATTTAAGAATGAAGCATAAGACACAACAAATGATTGGTAAAGTATCTACCCCTATTCTTCAGCTATGAAACAGCATCCAACTTTCTAGTATTAAAAGACCTTAGTAACCAATGTCACCCCAATCAATTAAAAAAAATTTTAAATGTAATTACTGGTTCATTTCTCTGCGGTATTTAATCATTAAGATACATACCAATAGTATACAGAAGGAAATAAAAATATAACTACCAACATCAATACTAAAACTACTCCCAAAATGGGAAATCCAAAACAAGGTGACTATTTTCACTGTATCTTTGAGTAGGACATACAATGGATGGGCAAAACAAACATATGGGCCACACACCACTTGGTATACCATTAGAACCAGGAAATAGAGCAAGGTTAAGGATCAGGGTAAGAAGGAAAAGGGGAGATGACAGGCTGGTGTGGCTCAGTTGTTGAGTGTCAACTCATGAACCAGGAAGTCAGGGTTTAATTCTCAGTCAGGACACATGCCCGGGTTGCAGGCTCAAAACCCAGTAGGGAGTGTGCAAGAGTCAGCCAATCAGTGATTCTCTCTCATTATTGATGTTTCTATTCCTCTCTCCATCTCCCTTCTTCTCTCTGAATTCAACAAAAACATATTTAAAAAAAAAAAAAAAAAAGGAAAAGGAGAACTAACATTTGTGTGAATACCAGTATGGTGCTTCCTGCTTTATTTATTTATTTATAAATATATTTTATTGATTTTTTTTACAGAGCGGGAGAGGGATAGAGAGTTAGAAACATCGATTAGCTGTCTCCTGCACACTCCCCACTGGGAATATGCCCGCAACCAAGGTACATTCCCTTGATCGGAATCAAACCTGGACCCTTCAGCCCACAGGCCGACGCTCTATCCACTAAGCCAAACCGGTCAGGGCTGCTCCCTGCTTTATAAGCAATGGTTCATTAAGTTCCCACAAAACCCTGCAAATTAAATATTACCAATCTAATCCCTGTTTACAAATAAGGAAACCGAGGTTTAAAGAACTAAAGTAAGTATCTGATGGCATATGGCTAGTGGTAGAACTTGACGTTCAATCCAGCTGTCTACTACTTTCTTCCTACTTTCACCCCTAAAGCAACTGTAAATACACATTAACTGCAAGTTGAGTAAGGGCTTAAATAAAAAGCATATACAGTCAATGATTACATTTTGCATTAGGTAAAATATATGAAGACAATATTAAGACTGTACAGCTGATAACTGGCAATTTCTAGCAATCAATACTTTCAATGCAGAAAAGAAAATTCCCCTAAAAAGTTTATCAATAAAACAAAAATAACACAATTTGGCCAGATCCAAAAGAAAATACTTTATAGCCAGATATAAAATATTTAAAATGTAACTTATTTCAGCCATCAAGTTTGTTACAAGTATTACCTCTGCATGTTTATTGTGAGAAGTACTAGTAAAATGCTGACTGGTGATAAAAAATCTCTGGGTATATAAAACTTGTATCTGTATTATTATTTTTAAAGGGTGTATTCTATTCTCTTGCATGGATTATTTGCTATAATTTATTAATGGACACCTATATTTTTCTCTTTTTGGTTTTTAAAACAGGCCCTGGCTGGGTAACTAAGTTGTTAAAATGTTGTCTCAATATGCCGAGGTTGTGGAATTGATCCCTGGTTAGGGCACATACAAGAATTACCCAATGAATGCATAGATAAGTGGAACAATAAATTGATCTCTCTCTCCCTCTCAAAACAAAAACCAATTAAATAAAAAAACAAGCACAACAAAACCAAAAAAGTAACACTAAAACAAATACCCTTGCACATTTGTTTAATCGTTTCCTTAAGATAAAAAGGCCAACCCTAAGTGGCTCAGTGGATAGAGCGTGAGCCTGCGGACAGAAAGGTCCCAGGTTCGATTCCAGTCAAGGTCATTGGTTGTGGGCACATCCCCAGTAAGGAGATGTGCAGAAGGCATCTGATCGATTTCTGTCTCATAGATGTTTCTAACTCTTTATCCCTCTCCCTTCCTCTCTGTAAAAAAAAAAAAAAAAAAAAAAAAAAAATGTATGTATGTATATATATATATATTTTTTTTTTTAAAAGGCTAGAAGTAAAACTGCTAGATCAAAAAGCATCCTCTTTAAAACGTTCAATAGATATTTTATAGCCAAATTTCAAAAGGAAATCAGTAAGACTGCACAAACCTCTTTCAAAAACAACATCTTTTAATTTTGAGAAAATATAGTTTAATTAGGAATGCATTAAAAAGAAGCATCAAGATACTTTTCTTTAATTAAAGAAGCATTCATTTTTCCACCAAAGGCTTTACTTCCACTTAGAGTGTTGCTTATTCAACCAACTAATCTGAATAGATATTTAGGTGATGAAGTACAAGCTATTTTAAAGTCTGTTCTCATCTCACTTTAATAAGATGAAATAAATTGCCATACATACTAAAAATAGTTCACGTTCTGAAACTCAATGCCTGCTTGCCAGAACAATATTAGTGGAGCATACTCTATGCATTCTTTCCCCAAATATGGCATTTGCCATGCACAAAATTCAGAATGGAAGCCACCAGATATTTGAAATAACACTATCCTTTAAAATATTTTTGGAATATTTTTAAAAGCCAAATAAATCCAATTATTTTCATTAAATAGAATATACTGAAATTGAGTATTCCAAACTTTTATCACTCATTGTTTTAACTGACCAAAATAATTGGGAATGTGGCTTTAGATTTTAAACTGGTATGTTCTGAAAGAAGTCCTAGAATAATCAGAAGCATATCCCATAAAATTTGCCTGATTTCCCTATGCACAAAAGTGACTTGACACTATGAGGCTTTAAAACTCACTTTTCTTCTCTAAGTCTGACAATTGTATCAGAAAACAATTAACAGAATAAAATACTTCAGGCAAGTATAGGACTATTCATGATAAAATATAAGAAGATCCTATGTATTTACTTTTGTTTAAATCAAATTGAGATTCAACAATGAAGAAAATATTATCATAATAAATGTTAAAGGTATAATATCCCCCCAAAATGAACTGCAAACATTTTTTACCTGTTGTTTCAAATAAGATTTACATTGTATTTGAGATCAAAGCTGAAGTGACAGAGATAGCAGCAAATCTTAATACCTAACGAAACCTATTCTAAGCACTTATAAACAAACACATATATACCCTTTTAAAAAGAAACTTTCCAGTGAAGTTATTCTTCTTAAGACAGAATTCCAACTATTTTATATTATTATATGACACTATTACAGGACTGCCACTTTTTGAGCTATAAGAAATAAACTGATTTTAAAAATACAATGACCTTGAAAATATACACTAACCTTCATTATCCAAGAGTCGGGAAACCCACAGAAAAATCCCACAGAACACAAACCTTTTGAAAGCTTTGTTTCTTCTACCACTTTGGTTAGATGCCCCTCGACGATCAGCTTCTCTGCCAAAGAAAATAAACGTTACTACCCAAGCCCAAACCGAATAGCATTTCCCTGAGCAGGGCAGTCTGTGCAACACATTCCATGACCAAATTTAAAGATGATAACATTACTCCCATGACTAGGCTTGAACAAGAACTAGACCCTGAATGGGGAACTCAGAGAAATCAAACTCTAATAGAACAATCAGATTAATGCAGAAATCTGGAGGTAGGGGAACAATTTACCTTTTATTTTCATTTTAAAGCCTAGCAATTTAAAAAAAAAGTACTCAGATCAAACAAAGCAATCCTATTTAAATCAAGGATATTAAATTGAAATAAAGGAATTCTGAGAAGGCATGTTATTTAAATAAAGAAATAATATAAATTATGTTATACCAATAATTTACTTTTCCTTATTGATACTATTTAGCAGAGATGCCTATATAACATTTATTTTTAATCAAACGAATCAATTTAGAAAAGTTAAGTATTTAAAAAATAAATATTTAAAAACTTTTATAGGGGATTATCTGTAAATGTATTATGTAGCTTCTTTATAATTTATTTAAAGTCAGATTTTCATATTCTGCATTTCACTGAGGAGGAGGATATAGCTATCCTTTATATTCCTACTTAACCCTGTATGTCAGTTGGTCTCCTTCAATTTACACTTTTGCCATATGTGACACAATTTCTCTATTCTTTCACTCTTCAGCCTATTACAACTTGGTCTACACCCACAACTCAATAATCAAAACTTCTCCAAGATCACTATAACCGCCTATCTGTCCAAACCCATGGCTCCTTTTCAATTTTCTCCTCCCATTTAGGCTCTTTACAGTATGTGGCACGCTTTGCCCCAGCCTCCTTTAATAAAAGCCAAAGTAAGTCCTGCCAGTGTGGCTCAGTTGGTTGAGCATTGTCCCACGCATCGAAAGGACTCAAGTTCGATTCCTGGCCAAGAGTATGTGCCTAAACTGGAGGCTCCTTCCCCGTCCTGGTAGGAGTGCATGTGGGAGGCAACCAACCAATATGTCTCTCTCACATCAATATTTTGTCTCCCACTCTCCCTTCCCTCCTCCTTTCCACTTATATAAAAGCAATAGAAAAATATCCTTGGGTGAAGATTAAAAATAATAATAACAATTTTATTCTGCTTCCTATTTTTTTGTTTCAAGGTTGTAGGCTTGATCCCCAGTAGGAGGCATGCAGGAGGCAGCTGATCAATGATTCTCTCTCAACACTGATGTTTCTATCTCTCTCAAGCTCTCCCTTCCTTCTGAAATCAATAAAAACATATTTTTTTAAAAAAGAATAAAAACCCAAATCTCCTACTACACAATTATCTGTTTTATATCCTCCAAAATTCTGTTGACATCTATTATCTGTTGTAGTCTCCACTCCCATTCTCTTTGTCTTTGTGATTTTATGTCTTTTATAATCTTTTACTATGAATGGGTACATATTTAATAAAAAATTTACTTCCTCCCTTTTAAAATTCTTTGACTTTTATAAGATACCACCTATTTCTTGCTCATTCCTTCTATCTTAGCCTTTCATTGGCTTTCCTTTCTTCTAATTGTGATCTAAATATGTGTTAGTCTTCGAGATCTCTTGTCAACAACGAAATTATTTTTAATGACATTATATGCTACATTATTTAAAAAAAGACTTTAAATTGATTTTTATAGAGAGGAAGGGAGAGAGAGAAACATCAATGTGAGAGTGAAACTTCTCAGTTGCCTCCTACACATCCCCTACTGGGAAGCAAGCCTAAAACTGGGGCAAGTTCCTTGACCAGGAATTGAACTGGCAACTTTCAGTGCACTGGACTACACCCAACCAACTGAGCCACATTTATAATTTCTAAATATTGATGCCTAATTTAGACCTCTCTTTTAGGTCTCAGAATCCTATTATTTTACTACTTCCCAAATATCTTCACCCAGCAATCTTACAGGTACTTAATCTCATCTTGTCTAAAATGAAATTTATCTTCTCTTCCTTTTTCCTCTGGATGGACTTGGTATCTCTCTCTCCCCTTCTTTCCATTCCTTTTCAATTCATATCTCTATTAAGCTATTTCAACTTTCTATGTCTATCCTTCCCAATATACTCTGAATTTTTAAGATTCCTTCAAATATTTACAACTATGCACCAGTTACAATACTAGGTATTCCTCAAAGATTATCAAGAGAAATGTAATAAGTCTAGGAATTTATTGTGTACAGAAAGCAGGCATAATTTTATATTGGGCAATTTACAGATTGTCCATGGTTGCTTTCCACTAATACAATTCTGACATAAAATACAAGGTCCACAAATGCTTGTTACATGAATATAGCAAATAATAAAATAATATAAACACAGACTTTGAAAGCCATTCTAAATTTTCTTTAGTATGTTGAAGATTTAAGTAACACATTGTTTAAAAAATTATAAACACATATCATATCAGAAGTAATTTATTGCTTAAAAATTTCTCACTCTGCTGGTCTGGCTCAGTGGATAAATTGTTAGCCTGCGGACTAAAGAATCCAGGGTTTGATTCTGGTCAAGGACACAGGCCTGGGTTGCAGATTCAATCCCCAATAGGGGATGTGTAGGAGGCAGCCAATCAATAACTCCCTCTCATAATTTAAGTTTCTATCTCTCTCTCTCTCCCTCTCCCTTCCACTCTGAAATCAATAAAAATATATTTAAAAAACACACACAATTTTCTCACCTTTAAAATAAAATCTGAAGTCCCTATCATGACCTATAAGGCCCATGTGATCCAGCCTAGGGGTCAGTCATCAACAGCCCCACTGGGCCAAATCCAGCCTGCTGCCTATTTGTTAACTAGTTTATAGGAACACAGACAGGTCCATTCATTTACAGATTGACCATGGTTACTTTCCACTACAATGTCTGAGATTAGCAGTCCCAACAGAGACTTTATTGCCTACAAAGCCTAAAATATTTACTAATTAGCCCTTTATTTTTTTTAAAGCATTTTTATTATTCTAAAACTCCAATTTCAAATCCGCCTTGGGTTTTCACATGGTTTCTATCTCACAGATTTTCCCCCAGGTACATGTATTACTCACTCAGTTTTGTACTATCTCTGTTCAAATCACATATATTATTACCTTTGTCGCTCCCTACTGCATTATATTTTATTTTTCTTCAGTGGACTCATCATTACCTAATATAATAGTTTTTGTCTCTTTAAGGAAATATAAACAACATGAAGGCAAAGCTCTCTTTGTCTTGTTCATTTCTGTACCCACAACAGCTAAAATAATGCCTGGTACATACATACCGTGTTTCCCCGAAAATAAAACATCCTCCAAAAATAAGACCTAGCGCATGGAAAGATAAGACATCCTCTGAAAATAAGACCTAGCGCAACTTTGGGAGAAAAAATTAATATAAGGCACTGTCTTATTTTCGGGGAAACAGGGTAGTAGATACTTACTAAATTCTTGGTGAATAAATGAATTTTTAAAGGGATCAAACTTGGAAAAATTATTTGAATATTTTCCTCACTCTAACACTAAGATAGGGGTGTCGAACTCAATCAGAGAAGGGGCCAAAATCTATAATCCAGCCTAAGTTGGGGGCCGAATGGTTTACTGAACAGTCATAAACTGTCATTGTGATGGAAATGCAGCAGAGTGCAGAGATGACAGCGCGGTGCGGGCCAAATTGCAAGGCCTGGCGGGATGGATTTGGCCCGCGGGCCTTGTGTTTGACACATGTGCACTAAGGATTAAATACATATAAAAAGTTTTGTGTTTTTTTTTTTAACTTTCTTCTTCCTTTCATTATTTTTTATTTTATTATTTTTTTAATAAACCTTTATTATTACAAAAGTTCCTCATTTCCCCCTCCCCTCCACCAGGTTCCTACCCCACCCTCTGCCTTTTCCCCACCCCCCATTGTCCTCATTCATAGGTGCACAGTTTATGTTCAGTCTCTTCCCGCACTCCTCACTCTTCTTTTCCCTGAGAATCATCAGTCCACTACCCTTCCATACGTCTGATTCTATTATATTCACCAGATAATATTGTTCATCAGGTTTTTTAATTCCCTTGGTTTTTAGATTCACTTGTTGATAGTTATATATTTGTTGTTCACAATTTTTATCTTTATTTTCTTTCTCTTCCGAAAGAACCCCCTTCAGCAATTCATATAATTCTGGTTTGGTGGTGGTGAACTCCTTTAGCTTTTTTTTTTTATTGGTGAAGCTCTTTATCTGGCCTTCGATTCTGATTGATAGCTTTGCTGGGTAGATTATTTTTGGCTGTAGGTTCTTGCTATTCATCACCTTGAATATTTCTTGTCATTCCCATCTGGCCTGCATGGTTTCTGTTGAGAAATCAGCTGACAATAGTATGGGTGTTCCTTTATAGGTAACTACCAGTTTCACTCTTGCTGCTTTTAATATTCTCTCTTTGTCTTTTGCTCTTGGGATTTTAATTATGATGTGTTTTGGTGTGGTCCTCTTTGGATTCCTTTTGTTTGGAGTTCTGTGCGCTTCCTGGACTTGTAGGTCTAATTCTTTTACCAGGTGGGGGAAGTTTTTTGTCACTATTTCTTCCAGTATTCTTTCGGTATCTTGCTCTCTCTCTTCTTCTGGGACCCCCATAATTCTGATGTTGGTTCGCTTGAAGTTGTCCCAGAGGTTTCTTACATTATCTTCAACTTTCTGGATTCTCTTGTCTCCCTGCTTCTGCAGAGGAGTATCTTCTGGCTCTTTATATTCCAAATCTTTGACTTGATTCTTGCAATCTTCCATTCTGTTTTTAGGACTCTGTATAATATTTTTTACTTCAGAGAATGTATTCTTTATTTCTTGTTGATCCCTTATTATTTCTTGTTGGTCCCTTATTATTTTTTGTTGATCCCTTATTATTTCGAGTTGATCGCTTTTCATATCCTCATAGGTCTTATTGACCTTTTCTAGAAAATTCTTGAAAAACCTTATAAGCGTGGTTTTGAACTCTATATCCAGTTGCTTTTTGTCCTCCATT